CTTCAAATGTTACACATTTGAAACGAAAATCTATCCAGTTTTTCTGCAGCAAGCCTGACCGGTGAGTATTATGATGAGATGTGGAATACGTTGTGTCTATGCTAAATACTGTACAACTACAGTTTTGCCAGCAACTCGTGGATGTTCTTCATGGGCCGGAGCTGACACGTGGTGTTTTTTAGGGTTTCATTAAGTTAACGTTAAACTTGTTTTGAGTATAGATATAGGATTATTATATCTATACTCAAAACAAGTTTAGAGTAAGTTGCCGCTTCAGATTTTAGCTATAGCTTTTGTCTTTCATAAGAATGTGTAGTTGAATAAAGAACTAACTCCAGTTGCACGCACATCGGTTGAGGCATATGTGTTAATGTCACAGTTATCGTGTAGGATCGAAATGGTTAAATAGCATTACAACTGGGGCAGCTGGAATTTATTCGTGACCTTTGCCTTTCTTTCCCTCTATCCATTAAGCTGTATGGATTCCAGCTGGGAATGGTGTCTGGGTGACTTGCATGAAGGCTAAAGATGGCTTCCACAGAAAAAGCTTCATGCCTATCGGACAAAGATCTGAGGTTGCTGTGTTTCACACGCTCCTGAGATGGAAGCTCTTGGTTGGCTATGACCTCGCTGAGTTTGAGACCTGGTGAGTCCGTGCAATATGTCAGCATTTGAATTATTTGTAGCCTGTGATGACAAATCAAATACTTTTCTGACACCTCGTATGAGAGCTTTTAGCTCCTGATTCTAACTTTTGGCTGAGGCTCCCACAGTAAATGCAGGAGCACGTTTGTGGTTTTTATGTGAATTTAAAACTGAGCTTTTCTGTTTACAGGATTGTGCACGAGTCAACAAATGGGAAAGTTACCACATGATTCTGCTGGTTATGGACTTGTATTTGAATGGTAAGTCTTTTATGTTGCACATTAATATCACACAGCCAATGATGACAAATCAAATACTTTTCTGACACCTCGTATGAGAGCTTTTAGCTCCTGATTCGAACTTTTAGCTGAGGCTTAAAATGATTGCAGTTCTGTCCGTCATGCAGATTGTTCCGCCATGATCTGTATTTGTCTTTTCTTTTTTCAGGTTCCTTTTTGTCTTCACTGGCCAGAAAACAGCTGCCCTCAAGCAAGATGAATATACCTGAATGACAAAACTACAACTCTTTGTTTAATGAAGGACAATATAATGGTGTCTGGTAACTGTTTTGACAAATAAACTCTATAAAATAATTTTGTCAACTGTTTTCTGACTGGTCGGTTAAACTCTCTCAAAGTAGAAGCATTGTGCAAAAAAGGCTCAAAGGCACAATCTGCAATTTGACTCAGTTGGATTATTTTCACATGATTTACATAACGGAAGAGTTGGAGGTGCAGTCCTAGCTCCTGTTCCAAAATAATGGACATGCCTGTTAAGAAACAAGTTTGTACCAATTACAGTAGGGGAATACAATTATTCTGAGATTTCTTATGACATTGGTTTTTATTTATGAAATTAGGAGGATTAGCGGGGTTGTTTTTTTGCCTTCGCTTTGACATCACTAGGTTTTAAGACACAGGCCTTTCAGATTTGCACCAGAATAAAGTCTGCATTTTTAGTAAATATAAAGTGGGGGTCAATGAGCAACCAGAGATAAGACACCTGACTCAGATTTATCACTTGTAACCTGTTTTTTGTAATTTTGATCATTCTGTGTTTAAGTATGCACCAATTCATGGAGTCTGTTTTGTTCAAAAACAAACTATCCCCTGATTGAGTATTAATTACTGGAAAAAAATGTATAGGCTATAACTCGCTCTTTTTTACATAAAATAGCTTCAGATATTGGTTTGACTTTTTGGTTTAAATAGACAATTCTGCAGTTAATGGTACGCATTGATATATCCATAACACTTTTAATGTAAGTCAGGGGTCTGTAGTTTACTCAATGATATAGCAGGGGTCCCTTAAGGAATAGGCCAATGATTGAAAACTTCCCTACAGTATATTTTTGCACACTCCTTTCTTGCTCTATTTTTTCAACAGTTAGCCTATTGTGGTTGGAGCCTACGCATTTTAACATTTAATAGTTAATAGGGTGAGTTGCCCTAATGTGGGACACCTAAACTCAAATGGGTGTAGGTCTTCTGCAAACAAATGAGTCAAATTAAATTATGGGTTAACACAAGCTGTGATGTCATGCGATCAAAACCACATGACTTCTCAAATGTACAATCACAGATGAGGGTATAGCAACCTTCAAACAGGAAGTACCCTGTGTGAAGACCACCCAAAGGTCAATGACAGTGTTTTGACAAACTTAATTTTAAGGTTTTAAATTTCGTATAAATAAAACAATCTTGCAAGTTTTTATCAGGATGTGTTTATGATATGTTTGTTCATCAGAAAATATTATAATATGGTGTAAATATACTCTATATTTTTTATTTCAATCAAATGTTCAATCGTCCCACTTTAGGAAACATGTTTCTCAAAGTGGGACAGTGTGATTTGC